ACACATCCCAATGCGTTTGCCAAACATCCGCCGCTGCTGCTTATGCCGGATTGATCAGGCGCGGATGGCGAGGACCGCATTGAATCCCAAGCCGGCATCAGACGCCAGGGCCAGCCACGTTTCCAGCCCGCGATAACGGTTAAAATGAAGATGATGCAGCCTAGCACACCGGCGATGGGATCATCCATTGCCATACTGCATGAAATGAGCGCCAGAGCCCCGAGGAAGACGCAGCAACCACGAAGCATGATTTCGTACTCCTTAATACACAAAATAAGACATGAGGCAACAGTAGTTTCATAGTGCATGTACGATAAATACGCTTAACTACCTACTATGTACGTTTTAGTAGACGCAGATATTTCTATTTTTTTAACTCTAATCGCATTTCACTATTATCGCACCCTTCCTGACGGTTAACCTTGTCGGTCCGCTTGAACGGTTTACTTAGACTAAGTTCCTTGCGCCTACCACACGAAAGCATGCGGTAAGCTGTTGTTATTTTTCGGTAGCAGGAGGTATAACACCTGTGCAGATTCTGTTAGTCAATTTTGTTGATTATTTCGACATACAGCATCGCAGCCTTCACAGGGGAACCGTACTTATCTGCCGACAGTACGTCTTTAGTACACTCCGTCCCATATTTCATCAACAATGGCATCTTTTAATCGTTGCTAGAAGTGGTAGGCATTTGCATTTTCGTATCACATCGTCCGAATTAAAAAAGCTAGATGTTTCCTCCGACGAAGTCATAGAATGGCTTACTGGTAGATTTCTCCTTGCCTCGGTCACTGGTATGAAATTAATATGGATAAACATTATGCATTACCTATAGTTCCAATGACTAATCGATATTTTATTATCACTCTGATTACCATGCACATAAATAATCTATTATTTCGGTATATATGTTCTACTCGCTAGTGAGTCTACATAAATTTTCCTTGAAGGATTACGGGTTAACAATTATGTTAATCCACTATAGATATGGCATAAGGTCGGGATTGTAGTTGTAACTACAGTTGTCCTAGGTTTGGCAACCTCCCCCTTTCCTCCCCCTAACGAGGATTAAATAGTAGCTAACCCTAACTAAACTGAAATGCTAAAAATAATCCTAAATTACGCTCTCCTGCTTTCGAATTTGAGCCACCCATTTTTTTTGATCTCCATTCACGTGGGAATTTATTTTCCTATACCATCCTCTCAAATCCTCTG